CTGAACACATCCCCCCAAGATGTCTGAAAGGAATGCCCCAGATTCCTGCGAGACAATGACCAACACAAAGCAGGGGGATATCTCTCCATCTCATACCTTGCTGCATATGACTGCCTCAACGACATTGAAATAGACTGCCCCCCCCCGGTTTGTTGCTTAAAAGCGTTTTCAATTTGAATACGTAAGCAGGACGTAAGACCACTTCGTTTGTCTGGTTCACAGACGTGGGCCAGGGTCAGAATCGGCTGGAATTACACCAAGTATTTGGCAGCATCCACAGCCAGTTCCCATAGAACCATGCATAATATTAAGCCGCAGCCAACTGATTCGGACACGACCTTCGTGTAAAGATACAGGAGATTGCCCGACTGATATGTATGGAGGCCTTGGGGGATCTTCCACCGTTCACATTACTCAACCCCACCCATCAAATAAAATTACTCGGTAGCAGAATTCCTGCGAATCAAGTACGTTTGCCGGCTTGTTTTATGCAAAATAAAAAAAATCCTTCCCGATGCGCAAGTCTACGGCGACGCGCGCGGTAACCAGAAACCGGAGACTTTTTTTTGGCCTTACTCCTTGTTCTATTCCATTGCTTGGGGTTAACTGATACAAACCATGAATTCATATTTTCTTTTCTCACAGATACATTTTTGTATATTTTCACACTTATACCTTTGTGATTTTAATGTGAAACTATTATTCAGTCCTTGGCTGTGAGACGCTTCCAAAATGCATTAACAATATAAAAAAAGGAAAAGACAAAATCAAGTATATGCAGTTTCAGTTGTAGAATTTCCTGCCTTTAGAACTTTGGTTGCTAATATTCATAAATTATTTGTCGAACTGAGACTGGTATGGTGCAGCATTTTCCAAGTGCTAGATAGAATGTGTGGGCGAGGTGTTAGTTTAGTGTAATGGTTTATACATACTGAGGGACTAAGAATAGCTTGTTGCTATACCTGTTCAGGCATATTTGTGCACTGGAATTTGCCTAAGTAGCTTACCATTGCTTTAAATAGCACTGCCATTCAATCTCTTCATATTGAAGGTCACAGTGAGAATTGCACCTACAAGACAAAAAAGTACAAATGAAAGTGCAAATGTTATGTACAGACTTCCATGACATCACTTGCCCAGCACACAAATCCTTAGGGTTTTTACCTGACTTTAAGTTTGATTGTAATACGACTTTGCTTTCAATCACAAATTAAGGTTGGAATAAAATATGAACAAAGTATACAGGGGTTGGGGAAACAAAACAAAAAAAAAGAAAAAAATGACTTTGCAAATACACAAAGGATTTTGTGCTAACACTAAAGAGGAGAAGCCAAAAGAATTAGAGCCTCTTTGTCTGTTTGCAATAGAACTGAGGATTTTCTACATTTTTAAAGGTTTCAAACCTTCAAAACATTTTCATGCAAAGTAACAGAAGTGCCCTCTTCAGAAGTTACATAGACCCTCACAAGTCTGTTGCCAAGTACTGTTTATGAAATGGGAGTCTTCTCATGTGGGCCTACCGATACAACTGCATGAACTGAACTTGCTAGCATTTGTTACATGCTCAGCTGTGTATATGAATGTAAAATGCTTCATGTGAGCGTTGTCGAGTATAGTTGAGGGTAAAAGTCACCACGTGGACTGTCCATGGAAATAGTGTAAATGTCAACAGATTTGTTGACTGATAATAAAGCTCTGTCACATTGCTTTTTAATATGCAATAGTGTTATAATATACAGGGCATTGGTCATTATTACCCATACAATGACTAACATGGCAACTTCGCTCTGCAGTTTATAAAAAAAATCATCATTTTGGGTAAGAGTAAGAAATGCATCAATGAGGGCGGCAAACAAATCTAGCCATGTAATGATGTCAAAATACGGCTTTCGATCCCCCGAAGTTTGTCAGGGGGCTTTGAGAGCACAAGAACACAGAAAAGATGGGTAAAGTTAGACATCTGGGGGCCATGAACTAACTACACAGGAGGCAGAAAAGCAGCACAATCAGGAATACATATAGTAGTCTGGCCAGGGCATTAAAATAATCCCACATCCTAGCCTGGCCATGCGGGCTGGCCCCCGCCATGAATTTTGAGAAACAAAATGCACAATCATTGTCGGAAAGTGTTTCTCCCACAGCAACATGCAGTAGCGCCCTCTCGTGATTCACTTATTACAATTGCCCAATCATTCCATGTCGAATCACGTTGTTCCTAAAATTCCCCAAAATTCTTTCTGAATGTACTCCTAATTGCCCTGTACCTTAATTGTCCAGTTACCAGGTTAATTATAAATACCCCCTGTGCGTGGATGACATAAAGTGAGCACAATTTGGTTGATCTAAATATGATATTTGGGGGGATTTCTGGGGTTATAATCGTTGCATTTGGAGTGTAATGCATATCGTATTATGTTCATGTCACATATATGTGTATAATCACAAGTGCAGGGGCATATATTTTCATAAGACTTAATTGGGGTTTCTTTAGTAAATTCAGAGTCATCTAATTATTGTTTAGGAGTGTTCGTTGTGTGTTTGGCTCTTATCCAAGTTCATATATTTGCCAGGTCAAACTATGGGTATGATTGCACATAATTTATCATGTTTATGTTAATGTTCTGAGAATATTAAGTGTCCCTACCAGGTCTGTGCACATATTTATTAGTTTTTATGTTAATTCTGTTTGTACACCACAGGATAAATAAACAATCAGCCAATCACCAGTTTGGCCATTGACTCCTTTTCACGGTCCCTCGAGCCGGATCCTACAACCAGCGACCCTTGGATTTCCGCGTCAAGAACCAGAATGTCTCATACACAGCAGGATGATGTTCTTGGTCTGTCCCAAGATGGCCATACAGGTGATGTGTCTGTGGCCAACAGCGATCACTCCTCCCATCATAGTACCCATTCCAGTCATTCTGTCAGTCCCCATCTGTCTGGGTTGAGTGAGAAATATGCTGCAAAGGTACGAGCCCTTCGTAAGAAAACTCAAGTTGAAGAGTTGCCAGTTAGAGGAAGAGGAGGCATCAGACAAGGAACTGCATCGTATCGATGACGAAGTCAGACAGGCCCGACTCAAGGCCAGAGAAATAGAGCGTCAGGCCTTGAGAGAACGTGAAGCCATAACTGCCAAGTTGTCATGACAACGCAGATTGCGTCGGGCTCAACAACAACTGGCTGAAGCTGAGGCCATCAGTGCCTTAATCAGTGATGAGTCACCCCCGCCTAGTACAACACTGGTAGATGTCGCCATTACTACAGACCAAAGCACTCCACCGGTGCCCCCCACATCAACCATAGTGTGTTCTACCACACAGGACACATCTTCCTATACCATCCCAAGTCTTACCAGTCTTACCCACAATTACCAGTTACATGTCTCCCTGCACAGCACATAAGCCTAAACCTCCCACCGGTTCCCCTCCGATGGTACCCAACTCTGCCAAGATTCTCTGACGGAAGAGAGACGGAGTTTGCCTTACTTCGTATGGCCATTGACAACCTCATCAACATTCATCCATACCTCACCGAACAGTACAAGTTCCAGGTGATGCTCGACTGGTTTGGTGGTAGAGCTTTGAAACTTGCCAAGTCGTTCATGTATTCTAGTCAGCCCTATGCTGAAGCCCTAGCCGCTGGAACGGACAAGTATGGCCAATCGCGACAGCTTGTCCAGTGTGAGATCGCAGCTATGATGGCCATGCCTGTCATAAAGTATGGTGACACTGAAGCATTCGAGGAGTTCTCCCTCAATGTCCCCTCCCTCGTGGGCATGCTACAAGCCCTAGAGGGTTGCATGTGGACCAACTTCTCAGCAAGCTTGCCCCCAACCACAGGACAAATTTCATGGAGCACTGTTTGAAGGAGGGCATCTTGAAGTCCAACTCCAGTCAGACCTACACTCTACCGCAGTTTGCAAGCTGGCTGCGGAGAAAAGCCCAGTAACACAGCTTTGCCAGTGGAGCAGTGTCTGGGTGTAACACCGGTAACCTGAAACCCCGACACCAGGAGCGAACATCTAAGAAAGATGCCCCCACAGCAGTACTCATGACAGCGCCAAAGCCGAAGAACAAACCCAGCCTTATTGTCCCTCTTGTGACAACAAGGAGCACTATTTGGGTGGATGTCCAGAGCTCAAGAAGCTGAAGACTGATCAAATCGTCAGTTGGATCCAGGAAGGGGGACGATGTTGGAAGTGTGGTCGTTCCCATAATCCAGGTGAGTGCAATCTCAAGAAGCCATGCCACACCTGTAAGGAAGTGCACTTAACTGTGCTTCATGATACCGCTCATAAGACTACCAGTCGTATCCTCAGAGTGCATACATCAAGCCAGACTGTCTATGTTGACAGGCCAGTCCGTCCTCATGATGTAATGCTGAAAGTCATGTCAGTTCTCCTACATGGCCCTACTGCCACCATCAAAACATATGCCATGCTTGATGATGGCTCTGATAGAAGTATGCTTCTGCAAACAGCAGCCAAGAACCTACAGCTCAAAGGCCAGCCAGAGACAGTCTTCCTTATGTCTGTCCGTGATGATGTCGTCGAATGCCAAGGTTTGATCACATCTCTTCATGTGTCACCAAAGGAGAAGCCCAACATCAAATACACCATCACTGGAGCCTTCTCCGCCAGCAATCTGTGCCTCTCAGAAGACACATACCCAGTAAGGGCTCTCCAGCAGTGGTGTAGTCACCTCCGTCACCTGCCGCTACCGGTAGTTAATCAGGCATCAACGATGTTGCTTCTTGGAGCAGACCACACAGATATTATCATCCCAAGATGCCCCATAAGATCTGGACCCCGTGGTGCACCAGTAGCTATTTACACAAGGCTTGGTTAGACACTCCAAGGGCCAACTGGGAATCACGATAAACAGCTAGAACAAAGAGTCTTCAAGACATCCACATTCCCGGTGACAAACGACCTTCTGCAGCACGTGCAGATGCTGTGGCAGGCTGATGTCCTCCCTTTCGCAAATAAGAAGGAAGTCTCCCGATCCAAACATGATCAGTTTGCTCTCCAGACTGTGCAATGGGCGAAAATATGCAGTCTACCCTGAAGCTCTGATGCAGTGCGTGATACAGTAGTCAATCTCCAGTCTACATGTACATGTGAAGTGTTTTCCCCCTAGTAAAAATAGGGACACGTGCATTAAGATCCCTTGTACATTTTTCTGAGCAGTAGATTAGAAGCCTTTAATGCCTTTCATGTCAAGCCTGACCCTGTAATGTCAAGCCTGACCCTGTAATGTCAAGCCTGACTCTGTAATGTCGAGCCTGACTCTGTAATGTCAAGCCAGACTCTGTAATGTCAAGCCTCCTAATTGATTTAAGAGTACTCCTACACTGCTTTGGCTTTCTTACCACATTCCACTGGCAGACTTCTTGTCTAGAATTTATTACTTTGTAATTAGATTTGCCCTTGTTCTTCTAGCCTGTATACCCAACCATTTTTTTTACCACTTGGTCATTTTTAGCCATTATTATCACAAGCAACATCTCTATGTGCAGTACTCCCACTCTCTCTTGTATAAGTTGTAGAATAGTTTAGAATAAAAGTTTCTTCCTCAAGAGTTAGTACGTGTTGTCAACATTATTCTTTTTATACAACACTACCAAACATGTT